AAGGATTAATAAACAACGTTAATTATATTAACAAAGTTAAAAAACGAAACATACATCCCGATGCATACAATTCGAAGTTTTTTTTAATTATGTTAAAAGACGATCTGCATTACACAAATGCTCTTTTTTTTTTTTAAGAGATTATATTCACACACCTCAAATTACTTCTCCCACATCTTTTTAACTTTTTAATATTTTCTACACACCACTAACCTTTGATAGAAAAATATTAAAAAAAAAATAAAAGGATGTGGAAAAAGTAATTTGGGATGTGTGAATATAATCTTCATTTTTTTAAACTTTTGACAAAGTGATGGCACAATCAGTTTTATCATGCGGTCTATTTCAAAACAACTAATTTATTCACAACATAATTTTAATTATTTTCTAATTGTTAATCAAAAACCAACCATGCTTAAATCAGCCTAACACATACAGCTGAATAAAAGAGGAAATAAAGTAAGAAAGTGATTAATAGCAGTCATTGATCACTAATACGTTCAGATGTTTGCAAATTAATTAGCCAGGAAGGAGGGAAACATATAATGACAAACTGCAGCAAAGAAACATAATAAAATCCTACAAACGTCTATGTTGACAGAGAAGAAAAAGCCCCTGCAACGTCTGCCCACAATGTAACCATCAGTTCTTCTTTCATGTTGATAAAAGAAAAGACAAATAAATTTTTAATTTTTTATAGCAGCAAAGCAACAAACATTGAAAACAATTTATAATACCAACGATAAGAAGTGAAAAATAACCTTATATTTTGAATAAGCACATCACAATGTACACAATCCTCTGATTAATCTATTTGGTTTCAGGCGCTGCACAAAACTTATACGACCAATGACATTTTATCATTTAAAAGATAAACACAGGCAAATTATTAAAATCCATTTTAGAAAGTAAATGTTAACACGCTTTAATCCATGCACATGCAGATAGACATTAACAGTATCTGTAAGGATGTCAACTCTGTTAAAGCGTGTTATAATCTTGCAGAAAAAATTGATGCCGAGGGATGGGTGAAAACACACTTGCCAATTTTCAGAACGTTGTTTTCATGGTGAACAAAACCTGAGTTTCATGCGGTACCGCTTTATATTGTCTCCTAATTCTAACAATCCGAAAATCGATGATTTCTTAGCATCCACCGACTTCAATTTTTTATGCCATAACATCATGGTCAACATCTAATGTACAGCCCTCGACCGCATATTGCTTCACATTACATTACGGCGAAAAAAAAAAAAGAAAAAAAAAAAGGGAAAAAAGTAACACAGAATTTGTTACATGCCGAACACAAGTCAAGAAACAAAAAAGTTGACAAAAAAAAAAAAAAAAACAGGTAACAGATGATTGATGTATACATTTTGTCGACAATAACATATTTAAGTTTTACTCTGTAACATGTAAAAAAGCATGGGAACATAAGCATTATCTGCTAAGTTAATTGTCATTGTCTCAATCTTTGATTAATATAATTAAACAATGATTTATACAGTGCAGGGCTGTATATTTTTTAAGAGTCCCTGGAATCATTGATTTCCAAATCCTACATATTCGAATTTTGAGTTTCTCGACTTCAATAGGAGTTGAGCGCACTCTTTCCATTAATCCTGTCAAAAGGAAATTCTTATCACATATCAGAAACTAAACCGGCCAACATGAGGCCAAAAAAAAAAAAAAAAAAAAAAAAAAAGGGAAAAAGTTTGAACAAAAGATACATGTGTCACTTACTCCATGCCTAAATAATAATTGCATAAATTTCATATCCTGCAATGTAATATACGACGCAAAACACATAGTTAGTTTGCACTAAATTAATGAGATACCCAAGTTTTCAGACCAAGCAACGAACACTTGAGCTAGCATTACCAAAACCAAGAGCTGCAACACAGAGACAACAAACCTAAGAACCACACGAAAAACAGACTACCATAGAAGAGTAATGCCAGACAATAATATCACACAAAAATTTAATCACAAAAACACCAACCCAAACCCATTTATCAACCAACGCGAATCCGGTTGCATAACACAAAACCAAACCTCTATTTCCAAAAGGAAACAAACTCATGTCATCCTTTGGACACCAAATCTGAACCCAAAAGGCTTGAAACAATCAAAACATACAATGAAAAAACAAGTGTCATAATATATTTTTTTGCTTTCGTTTTCCATCAACCAAATTAAGCTCGTTTCACATTCTTTCACTCTACCATCAAGCACACAAACCAAATATTGCCCAAACACAAAACGAAAAAAGAAAAATTCCGACTCAAAGCAAAACATTAACAAACGCAATGCACAATCGATCGAAAGACCAGAACCGATCAAAACAATGAAATTCCAAAAAAGACAACCCTAAAACAGACACACCCTTGTTTTTGCCCAACACAGAGGTCAATCTGTGTCCACACACTGTTTATACCCCCCAATGAATCAAAACCCCTGAATGCAATTAATCACAAACCAAATCAGCGCTCTTCATCTATCAGATACAACGAAACCGTAACCATATTGGCCAACAATATATAAAGCACACTAAACTAACATGATTTGAAAATTTTGAGACAAAGCTGGAACACAGAAACGATAATCATAACCTAAACACGATAACATAACGATAATCTCACACAACAATACCCCGCAAAAATAAAAAATTGATTCATTAATCAGCGCCAACGGTCTCACATGAAAAAAAAGGCACACTCTCAAAACTATACACCCTTAACAGTTTGTTTAAATCATTAACTGATTAAAAGAATCGTATCGCCAAACGTTCGTCTGCAACCACGCTTCTTCTATCCCTTTCTCTCTTTCCCTATCCTCTGCTTCAGCAAATCACACACTCGTACCTCTCTCTGCACATCCGCTGACTTTTCCAACAGCTTAAAACCCTAAAATCTATTCGAACCCATGGCAAATTAAACCACACACCCAAAAAACCAACCAACCCTAAATATCTTTAAATGCAACAGAAGAAAACTCATCTTCGAAACTAAGATAAAAATCTAAAAAAATACCTCATAAAAATCTGAAAAAAAAAAATACGCATTGCAAGGTTCTCCGATGAAGGAATAGGTGTGAACTGGAGAAAAGCATGGCTGAGAAGGAGAAAACATAAGGTACCGTTGGGTATGTGGGACGAGACGGAACAAAGTGAGACAAGGCGTTCTGTTTTACGTTTGTGCGTCTAAAACGGATGGAACGAGCTGTTCCACGGAAAGAATTTTGGGTGAATTTTCGTTCCATCTCACCCCTGAAACGACTCGTTCCACACCTGTAAAACATAAAATTATAACCTCTCTGTCTCCTTTTTCTTCCCCTAGTTTCCATCCGAAAACATCTTTGCTATCGCTTCGTTTCGTTCCGTCCCGTCCTGTCACGTCTTCGTACCAATAGCTAACGATAGCTAAAAGTGCGCCAAACCGAAGCAGACATTCGAGAACAAGGGAAAAGAGAACCTGAGAGCGAAGGACAACGACCGACTCAAATAAGAAACGGAAAGAAAATAATACAACACGGCCCCAAAAAAGCAACCCACGATGATCGACACTTGGCATGGACAATCCCGACCTTTTCCCTGCAGCAAAGACAAAAAACAAGCAAAAAAAAAAAAAAAAAAAAAGATTTTAAGGGCAATTCGGCCACTCGAAAACACCTACCCAACATGGGCACAGTCGAGATTTCAATGCGGAAAAGAGGGAAAACGATGCCAAAAACCAAAGAAGCCGAGGACATTTCCGCCTTCACACTATAGATAAACAGTATTGGACGGAAATTAAGTTTTAGCATATATAATATATAATGTGGAGTTTAACACTATTTCATAAATTATTAATTTTTTTTAAATAAAGGGAATATAATAGCCGATATATTGTCGAACTTTGGTCTTATGGACTCAACAAGCGTCACCACTAAACCGTTACTTTAGATTGAAAATGGTATTTTTGGCATAGTGAAACTTTCATCAAAGAACTAAGTGGATTTCCAATTTAAGCCATTTTCCACTAAAAAATCCTTGGGATTTTAGATTTTGGCCAAACTTGATTTTGGATTTTTACGTACCGAACACCTTAAGTGCCTAAAACTTTAATAGAATCCAAATCCAACTCTTAAAAGCTGTATTGAACAAGTACATAGTCGAACTTTGGCCTTATGGGCAATAGTATAATTGTCAACTCCTATCACTATACACGCCATCATTTGTCTAAAATACTGAATAAAAAATGCTTAATAACCTAACCTTTCCCTCAACTCTTATAACACATGATGTACATACATTATTGCATCGGAATACCAATTATGGTACGGAATTCAATGTGGCAATATAGTTTTGTTCTAGAAAAGAAATTTTAAAATATAGTTGAGAAGTAAACATTATTTTTTTCGAATTGATCAAATGTCAAATACCAACTATGGTATGGAATTCAATGTGATAATGTAATTTTTTTTTTCATAAAAGGGGTAATATTAGGAGATTAACTTTGTAAACTAAATAATATAAAAGTTAATAATTGAATTATTATTTAAAAATTGATTGATGTGCTTTTATTTATTTGTGACATATTATTTAATTTACGAATTTTATTAACAAATTTAATTTACCTAACATAACTAAAAAAATTAATATTAAGTCACCAAATTTATTTAAGAAATATGTTTACCGAATTACGAGTCCGTCCATATTTTAACAAGTCCCATATTAATAACAAAATAAATTGAAAAACAATTCAAATTTGAAGCAATCAGACATTGACACGTTACACAATAATAGAATTTTAATTACCAGATTGGGAAGTGTTATTAGTATTCTAAAAATCTCATTCTACACTTCTCGTAAATGTATTTTTCTTTGTAAATATAGAAAATTTAGAATGTAGAATGAGATTTTTAAAGTATCAATAACAATTCCCAACAAATTTAGCATTAAATCGTAGAAATTGAAATTGATAAGAAAGATAGAGGCGGACGAGAGAAAGAAGAGGAGAGAGAAATAAGGGTAGGAAAAACGCTTGAAAAGGAAGTGGGAGTCAGGTTTACGTATTTGGGGGGAATTGGGGCTGGACACTCTAGAGAGAGAAACAAGAGAGAGAGATAGTGGCACAAATGAGAACCAAGGTAGGAAGAAGGGAGATTTGGGACAACAATTGGAAGGAGGCAATGCCTGCTGCCGGTGCTGTTCTTGTTCGGGACGCCGGCAACGACCACCCCGACGCCTCTTTTGCTCTTCACCAACAGCAAGCTTCTGCCGCCGCTCAAGAGCAAGACCATCAGGAGGAACCTCAAGCTACCCAAGAAGATGGCGACGGCGACGGCGACGGCGAAGCTGAAGAGGACGCTGACGATGAGGGAGGTGGCGACGGGGACGGTGAGGCTGGCGCTGATGACGAAAATAGAGAGCGTAACAAGCTTGATGACGGCTTCTACGAAATCGAAGCGATTCGCCGGAAAAGGGTTCGAAAGGTACTACTCTCTGCCCCCAAATTTTTTGTTTTTACATTTATGTACTCAATTTTTTTTGGTGCTAATTTGTTACCATTTGAACTTTGCCTGTGAGAAATGAATTGGGTAATTTTTATTTTTGCTGTTTAAATTTGAGTTTTGGTAAGAAATGATGGGTGTATATGTTTGCTTACTTAAATTAAACTTACTACTGAGTGCTTTGTGTTTTCATTTGTGTATGTTGCAAAACCAACGATATAGGGTGAGCTCCAGTACCTCATCAAATGGTGCGTAACCTCTTTCTTATCCTTTTTTGTTGTCGCTGTTTAACTTAATTTACGCGCACGTACACTGCTTAGTTACATTGAATCAAATCGAAGTCCTGTTGGTGCTGAAGATGGAAGATAGATAGGGCAGCGGAAGGAGGAGGGGAGAAATTTAAGGCCTATCTGTATATAGTAGACATTCTTAGACCAATAAACCAATCCTATATAGTAACATGTAAATAAACCTGCAAACACTTATGTTTTCTAAAATCCCAAACTTGAATTTTGATAAAAGTGTCTCCATATAATCTGCTTCACCTGTTAATTGATTTGGTGTATTTATTTGCTATTTGCTTATACAGGCGCGGTTGGCCAGAGACTGCCAATACATGGGAACCCTTAGATAATCTCCAGTCAATTGCTGATGTTGTTGAGGCCTTTGAAGAAAGGTATATTTTGTTTGGTTTTCTATCTTCCCATAGTTATTCATTTTGTTTCAGAAAACTTGGGCGAAAGGACCATAACTTTTGACTGTGTTTAAGTTTATAAAAATCGTAGAAACTAAATCATTTAAGATTGAGTTGATTGGGTTCATTTTTTGCTAGTAGTTTTTTCTCAAAAATAAAAAACTTTATATTTTTATGTAGTTATTCTTATGTCTGCTACAAAGTTTACAAATATCACATAAACTAATCCTTTAATATATGTTTTTCTTACGTCGTTTATAAAGCTTGCGAACTGGAAGGCATCGGAAGCGCAAGAGAAAGCAAGGGACTCCTCTTTCTCAACCCAAGAAGAGGCAGCAGCGCTCTAGTGATCCTATTCCTATCTACAATATGACAGATGTGGAAATCGGCATCGTGGATAAAGCTCTGTCCTCCACTGCTCTCAACTGCTCGAAACTTGTTGGTCTTTCTCCCCCTCAACAGCCAGTGGTTTTAGCTCGTGACGGAGAGAATGATGGGCATGTCAACAATATTGAAGCAACCAAGAAAGTTAATGCTGAGAATGGCTGTTCAAATACTTCTCAACAAAATGGTGGAAGGAGAGAGGAAAATGAGGATGATCCAAAGCTTAGTGAGCTCAGAGCAACAACGTTTACTAATGTTGTCAATTGGGATAAAGTTTCTGTACCTTTCCAAGAAGCAAAGGCTCCAGAAGTTAATGGCCCTACAGATGGTCTTTCCAAGGTTGATTGTGCAGAACCAGTACAGAGCAATCGCAGCACTGGAGCTAAGAGAAGGAAGTCCAGTTCTGTGAAGAGGTTTAAACAAGAGTCACAAGTGTCCGAACTGGGTGCTACACCAAATGCAACAACCAGAGTCAGTGTTAGATATGGTGGTAGAGGTAGTCAATCAGGGGCAGAAAATCTTGACTATGCTGGGGGAAATTCAAGTCGCAGGAATAAGATTGATGAATCCAGAAATGCAGTACGTATCACCAAGATAATAAAGCCAATAGGATACTCAACTTCAGTGTCAAACGACGTCCAGGATGTGTTAGTCACCTTTAAGGCAATGAGGTTTGTCTTAAACTTCAATTTACAATTCTTTTCCGTTGCTGAAAATGAATTTAAGAATATATTCTGACCAGATTTATGAATAGTATGTTTATTGAATAGGTTAAATAAAAGATACATACTCCATTAGTTCCTTTTTTCCCCCTTCTGTTTCATGAAAGGAAAATGCATGCTCCATCAGAGGTAGATCGCTATCCTTAATAATAAACATTGGACTGGGTTATTCCTAACAATGCTACATGTTAGTTAGTTAGTTAGGTACTACTGGAATTTCAGTAACTATTTTCTTCCCTCCGATATGATTCATCTAAAGATGCCATGTATTCGGTTAAAAGAACGATTCTGGGGTAGTCATACAGTTTTGTGGCTATCATCTATAAATAATTTTTTTTTTCTTTTCATACATTTATATGGCTTGTAAGTGCATGCCCGAATACAGTATCTCAAATATCTTAGATAGAGGAATGCTGTGCATAAGAATCCCTTGACTGGTATCACCCCCTTTGTAGTTGAAGTTAGAATGTTTTCTAGTTTGCTTAATAAAAGTTCTTGAGTAGCATATTTTGCTTAGGAGCAGTGATACATGGCATCAGTGTAGCTGCATCTCTGATGGCTTTGTAGTCTGAGCAGTTCAATAGTCATTGCATGGGCAAAATATTTATGTCAAGCTATAACTTTGAGATTTCTTCAAATGTTGGTTGATCTTATGGTTTTAAGACAATTTGTTTTACATGTGTATGGTTAAAGTTGCATCCTTAAGACTAAAATGCAGGAAAAGATGACTTGTTTCCTAGTCCTTGTGATAACTTGTGCGAAGTACAATAGTTGAGTATCTGTGTGATTTTTATGTTTAGACATGTTGGTGCATTAACTGCCTAAGCCTAAGAGTAATTTTATGGGTTAGGCGATCTTTTTATGACCCTTATTGGAGAAATTGGTCGGCTTGAAAGTTAAATCCTCTGAGAACTGATTATGGACTTTTCAGTAATGTATTGCTTTCTTTAACATTACTAAAGTACCTCCCTAGATAATTTTAATTTGGGGTCTCTCTGATCCAAATGTGGTACATTACAATTCTGACATTAACTTGGGTGATCTAAATATTCCTTTTTGCTCGCTTACCTTTTATTTTTAGTACTTAGGAGTAGTCCTTTATAAATTAGGACATTTTTAGATGAAAGGAGGCTACAATAGAAAAGCTTCTACTTGAACTGCCTTGTCAAGTTCCAAATTCTAGTTATTGATTTCTATGGTTCATGATAAATCTCACCTTCTTGCGCTTCAATGCATAGTGATTAGCGACTACCATGTTTTGTTCCCATTTTCGGATCGCATGGATCTGCATTTCTGTAAGGTAGATATGAGCTTCCTGAACGAATTGATGTAAAAGTTTTGGCATGCTAAGATGGACAACATACCTGTTGGGGTTTTTCTCTAGCAAGAATTATCTGGTCCTGCACCAGTCGAACCCAAGACCTGATGACGTTTAATTGTAATTTTATGTAGATGTAATGTGGAAAGTCTAGATTCTTCTCGATGGATGAACATATATTCTCTAAATATAGGAAGTTGTAATTAATTCTGCTCTTCAATTGCTACAGATCCGGCCTAAGTCTGGATCACATGGTTCTCTTCACATGCTTTATAACATTTTTATTCGTGGTTTGCCTTTTTAAAGGTCCGACGGATCTGAAGTGATAGTGGACAACAAGTCTCTCAAGGTTAATCATCCGCTTCTGGTAAGTGATTATTGCTCAAAATGATAACATTCTATCTTGACAACATTTCAGTGGCTTTAAGTAGCTAACGATTATTGACTCGTCTTTGATATCATCATTTGTACTTCTGCTAATCTCTCTCTTCTTTTCCAGTTGATCGATTTTTACGAGCAACATCTCCGATACAGTCCTACATTTTAATTCAAGGTGTAAATGGAGGATGCAACATGATAGCTAGATCTGCATCATCTTTGTTGTCAGATGTACACAGCGTCGGAAATTCGGACTTGTCGGAGTTTGGATGAAAGTGCAGGTTAACAAATGTAGTTAAGTTTGGTGAACTCAGTCAGTGTACCTGTAGCTGATGGGCTTGTTGCTCTCTTGTCTCTCTCCTTCATTGACCACAGTATTTACTGTATTAGGTAAAGTGAGATTTGTTGTACCCGGATCCGCTTTATTTTATTTTATTGGTCAATAGTATCTGGATCTTTCTCGCTCGCTTTTTCGCTGTTGAATTATGTGATGATTTGAACTACTATGGTGCTCCGGAGTTTCTGTTCTCCGAAATCCTTAACCATTAGATATTGATCATTGTATACTTTCCCCTGAAGATTTAACTGATAAAATCTGTACTAAAAAAATCTCAGAAATATTTATCCGAAAAAATTGTAGCAATGATTCCATAGTTTTAATCCAATTGAAGTAATGGTTTCTCAACTAAAAATTCATAACTAATTCATCATTGGCTCCTAAACTCATTAAACGGTCCAACTATGTTCCCTTTCATCAACTCCGTTAGAATTTTGACAAAATGTTATATTGGAAGGATCATTGCGACAATTGGGTTAAAGTTAAGGAACTATTGCTCTAATTGCGTTAAAGTTGAGTGACTATTACTATAATTTTTCTCATTTGATTTTCTGTACTTTTCACTTGATTCAGCCTCACGTGTATGTCACGTGACTCATTTTGACAAAAGTTCCAACAGCGTTGATGAAAGTTCTAAAAGAATTGATGAAAATGATCATAACTACACGTTTTGATGAGTTAAGGAACCAATAATCATAAAATTTTAATTAAATAACCGTTACTCCATTTGGATTAAAGTAAAAAATTATTTTTACTATTACCTCTTTAAATAACTGTTATTCCATTTGAATTAAAGTAAGAGATTATTTTTATAATTTCCTCTATTTATCCGTTTCAAGATTTCAGTTGCATGAATCTTGAATTTCTCGTTGGTGCTGTCGTCGTCTATTTCACGAAAACACCCTTTCTTGAAGGCATCGAAAAAAGAAAATATAATAAGAAGCTGTTTCCTAAAGAAGAAATGGTCATGCAGAAAATGCCCGTGGTTGGCTGCCTAGACTTGCTATATCCTTTACTTAGGCTCGACAGTCACATAGTCGCATTGCGTTATTAATATATATTTTATAATATAAGTGGATATGTTGGTTAATATTTAATAGCCTTCAGGTATAATGTTAATAAACAGTATTATAACATGAAAAAATTAGTAACATTAACTGACTGGTTGATAGTCAAATTGAAAAATCTCTCGTAAGAAAATTACAATAATAGAAGAATGAGGATTCCTGTAGAGACGTTGGCATCGCTCAACAACCATCAAACGTGCAACAAAAAAGAAAGAATGATTGTATTTAGAAGTTTTCTCCAACTGCTACTAACAAACAACCCTTTCCCCTCTTATAAATCACTCCCCTCCTTTGCTCTGAGTAACTTAGTTTCTTGCTTTCTGCACCCACCGGAAAGTGCTTTCTGCACCCGCTAGAAGCTAGAGATAAAGCAACTGCCAACTGAGCTTTGCAATGAGGAGTAGAGGGCCGTCGCCACTTGTACCTTCTCTATTGGTGGGTGCTTTGGGTTTGATCGTCTGCAGACCTACCATAATATCCCTCCTGGAAATCTCAGTGTCTGTGTTCCAAATAGGTGCAGAGACAGAGCGGAGAACCACCTTTGCTTTTGTGATGCTCCTTCTTCTCTTAGTTTTACTGGTTGTGCACGTTCTTGCTTCATTTTTTCCATCGTTTGAGATGTCATCCCCCGAGGTTCATCACACGAGTACCTCGGAACACGGTGGTGACGGGCTCGGGTTCGGAGTGGGATCGTTTCTTCTACTTGTACTCTTCCTTGTTCTATTTCATCTGGTGTGAGACCAGCAACAGCTTTGCTTGTGTTGTATGATAAAGCTCATTGCATATGCTTTTGGTAGCACATTCACACATCTCTCTCTCTCTCTCTGTCTCTATCTCTTTTATTACAAGCGATAATACTATTTTAAGTTAGACTAAGGGGACTCAAGAGTGTTTGAACTTGGGACGTAGTAGATTAAAGAGGCAGACTTTATTCACTTAGGCAATCCACCACTTGCCCTCTCTCGAGTTATATCGGAACTTGGAATAGTAATGTTTACTACTTGCATTCTTTTGAGTTTTTGTTTTATCAATCGTTGGATCCAATGATTTAGAATAAAGTAATTATAAGTACCTTATTAAACACTAGTAGATAAGTATTTAACATTTAATTGAATAGATTACGATCACTATTTTAGTTTTCATAAAACCAAAAATATTACGATATATAGGTGAAATGATAGATCCTTTCCAATGCAAAACAAGACAAAAGCAACAAAATCCATGATACCAGAATGTAAGATGAATATGATCCAAAGGTTAAAGTATAAATAATAATCGTTAGGCAACAAATTATGCAATGCATGTAAAAGTTTCAGTGAGAGAAAGAAGAGAAATATGATTGAGTGGCAATTCATGGAAGAATTTAAGCCATTTGCCTTCTACAGTTTTCCTGAAAACTGCTATAATAATTATCTTGATAAGTTCTGGATATTTTCTCTCCCTCCTCCGAGCCTTCCTCCTTCATCTTCCCTCCCACCCACCTTGCCACCTAAACCCAATTTCCATGTTTGTCTTTCCTTTAATTTTACGTTCATGTGTAATTAGATTTGTTTTTTGATAAGTTGATATTATACTATATATTTGACAAAAAAGAAAAGATATTATAATATATATTTTACCTTAATCCTAGTATTAATTTATTGGTTATTTTGTGAGAATTTTGATACATTAAAGTATATTTCTAATGTAGGACATTTGACTTTCTCTTGAGCAAAAGGTGATCAAACGGATGAATTTTGGAGTGATTTCAATTGGAGGATGTTCGTTAGTCTCTCAGCTTGTTCTTGACAAAGTTTCAGATTTTTCTACGAAGCTGATAATTAATGGCAATGGAATAAAAGAGCAACGTGCAGTGCTGACAAAGTGACGTTTTGGGCTTATTTGGCCTTTTTGGGGTCCTAGATGATGTTTAAGGCCTTCTGCAATTATGTTCGGGACATCTCAAGCTTTAATTCAAGACATTTTAGACCTATTTTGGAGCCCTGAAGATCCAGAAACGTGAGATTCTTTGTGACTGGGCAGATTTTCCAAAGTTATAATAAGTATGTATTTCCTAATTATATTATTCTATTTTCTTTATTAGATTTTAGAAGACATTTTCTAGTAAGGATTTTATTTTGTAGTAGTATAACTAAGGCTATTTAGCCATTAGGAAAAAAAAAAAAGGGATGCACTCCTTTGGCGAACTCGGCTTATAGAGCTTTTGATGACTCAAGTTTATTTACAAAGTGTTTTCAATCTATGTTCATAATATTATTTTTTGTATATGATTGTGCATAACTAATCCCTTTTGTTAGGACGAGGCCATGAGTCTCAGCAAAAATATGTAGTTTCTTTTCAATTTGCTTATGATATTATATATGCATGCAGATTTTGAATTATTAATCACCGTGTTTTAAACTATCTATTTGTCTTAATACTTGATCACCATTAGGCTATTTAGAAAGTAATTTGATATAATTTTGGTCGGAGGCCGGTCCCTAAAATCAAAGGCTTCTTGTGGTTAAAAATTGTAATTTCACTTAGGATGAATATTACGTCTTAAGGGTTGCATGGTTTTTCAAAGTGTTTTCAGAAAGTTTAATGAGTTTTGCATATTTAAATTTGATCTGAATACCACAGACAGATTGCATGATTGATATACATTCTATATTGGAGGTCCAAGTAGAGCATAATTTAGGAAAACTAACCTTCAAAATATGCATTTATAAGTCATATGTAATTGGGAGAACTACTTAAGATTGTTAAGATGACGGTGGAACCCTAGTGCTTTTACAACTTTATTTTTAAAAACTATTTTCTTTTATGTTTCTTATCTTTGCCAATTTCTTTAATATTTTTAATTAAATTTATTTCTCTTATTATAGGTCTTATTATCAACTTTTTTCAGAACTTTGTTTTAATTAATTAATTAAGATTTGATTTTCACATTTAATTATTTAATTAAGATTTGATTCTCACTTTAATTATTCATTCAATCATTGTGGAGAACAACCTTGCTAGAGCCGACTCTACTACAATTACCTTGTACTCTTGCAAGAATTTTAAGTGTTTTTATTTTTAATTTTGTAGGTGGCGAAAATCCATCATTTTCCTTTCCATCGTTAAGTGCCTTTTGGTGAGATTTGTTTGCGAATTCTCCCTATTGAGTAATTTCATTTTGTGTGTAATTAGCTCGTTTGGGGTCTACTTCATTGATGATATTGAGGATAAAATTCATGCTGGTATGAATACTAGTTAGTTCGTTGTTAATTCATCTTCAGAGTCGGCGCTCCTTGTTTTCAAAGAGTGTCCTCCTATTGGTTATATTGTAGTTTTTGTTCACAGATTTTCTCATGTGCCAATTCAGGAAGATCCTTTGACTATAATTTGGAATGCCATCTCAATCTTTTGATATTGGGTGTGTCCATTTGCTTATTCTCATTCATGAACTGAATAACTTTCTAGCCCCTGTATCAAATTGGTAGTTCTTTCCATGGGTGATGGCCTCACCATTGAACTAACGGCGCATCTGATAGGAAGAAGGAATATGAAACTTCGTTTGTACCATGTTAGAAGTGCATGCGGTTTGTTAATCTATAGTAAAAATTGGTAAACATTTTATCTTCAGAAAATGTTTCGACGATGAAATATTAAACATCTTCTCCTAATCACTTGATGAGATGAGTTTGTATGATGTTAGAAGATTTGCTATGTCTAACCTTAGATAGGGAATAGGTTTTCAATTTTTAGTTTTGCTGTTGTCATCTATTACTATATAATTTTAGTGTGTGTATATGTTTACCCTAAAAACTATCAAACCTACGTGACACACATGCTAAGTAACTAATAAGCTAACTACGTCATTCGGTTGAATGCGGGGCGTGTCAACTTGATGACCGAGCTCGGTTGGTGAGTAAATGAATGTGGTGGTGATGGCGTTGAACGTGTTGCTGACTTCTACGTCTTGCAATTGTGGATGAGGAAGGAACTAGTCTCGGCCTTCTAGGTTCTAGAGCCAGAAGACAAGGCTGCTAGTTTCTTTAAAGTTCACAAATTGTCGGCATCGGGTTCGGTCTCCGT